AGAGAGACGCCAAGCTGGTATTCAGCTCACAGACAGTGGTTAGTGCAAAGATGGGGGAAGGGACTTATACAAGAAGTGTGAATTTCCCAGTGCTATTCACCAGTAGAGCTTGGGGTCTAAGGGCCTATAGGTGGAACCTCATAAGAAGCAGCCTCATCTAGACTGGGCCACATGGGTCTGGGCAATTTTTGTACTTGCCACCCTCTTTTCTCTGCTTCTGCAGCTGGGTATTGCTGTGGAAAGGAGGGACATGGAAGTGACCAAGCTCGGGTTTTGCCCTCCGTAAGCCTGAAAACTCCAGCTTGCTTCCCTAAAGGCTCTTTCCTTGTTGTTGAGCTAAGGCATGGACTCTGGGTTCTACCCATGGGAGCCAAAAGTGGATACTGTCTCAGGAAATAAAAACAACCTAGACAAGTCGCACATTTGGGTAACAGATGCTTTCAAAGATATACTTTCCTGAATCCACCAAAGCGTCAGCCCCAGCCAAGCAAGAAATCTGAGAGCCTCATGCACCAGGACAGGAGTGTGTTGTGGCTGAGTCACACCACGATGGGCCACACACTCACGGGCAATGGCTGCGGCTGTGGAACAGGGCCTTCCCCCCTCCCCGCAGGTTGCTGCTGTGAGGTATTAGGGGCCCTAGATCCCATCCTTCTGATCCTGACAAGGGAGAAGGAATGTGGAAGTACTGGTTTCTAAGTGAGAGCATCTGGGTGGCAAGTGTGGGAGTACAGGCTGTTCACATAGGGGAAGCGGCAGGTGCTATCCAGGGCACGTGGTAGTAATGTGATGGTGAGACGTGGTCCTCCCTCTGCTGAAGCGGGCACCATGGGAGCCTCAGCTTTACTGCCTGCCAGTCAGGCCACAAGCCCAGAGCCAGCACCCGGTGGTACAGGGAGTTACAAGAATGGGGATCACATCAGACAGCCCTGAGGGTGAGAACTAGCCCTGCCTGGTAAGCCACTTGGTGTCTTTATTTACAAATTAAGGACAATAGTGCCTGCCCTGCTTCCCTCTCTGGGCTGATTGTGAGGAAAGGTGAAGTAGTGCACACCAATGTGCTTTATAATTGCAAACCTCTACGCCCTTGTGGGACTCCCTAGATGTGGACAGAACCAGGAGGTTTTGGTGCCTTTCCTACCCTTTCCTTGGTCAGCATTGCTGAGCACGTGTTCCAGCCTCTCTCGCAGGCGGTCATTGACGAATACGGACTCCTCCAGGCGCTGGCGCAGGTTCTGGATCTCAACCAGATTCTTTTCCAGCAGCGCGGCCCCTGTTGCACACCACCAAGACATGGGAGAGGTAGGAAATGGGGAAGGCTGGTCACTCACGGGCAGGTGGGAGGGTGGGGGACCTGCCCAGACTCTGTCAGATTCCTGCCCAAAGCTATACTTCTGTCAGCTTCCTCCTCTCACCTGGGCACCCAGGAAGCACCAGGCAACTGTGTTTAAAGGGCTCGCGGGCTTTCTGTCACAAGCTAGCCCCCTAAGGAAAGTCCCCAGGACCTCCTCCCAGACAGAGGCTGCGCACACCTGAGGGAGACGGACGCTGGACTGGAGAACAAGGGTGAGAAACTGGTAAAGCCCTCTAGGCGGGGCTGGCCTAACGATGGGCAAGCCCATCCACCTCCTTCTGCAGCAACCAGAGGGCCTCCCTTTCTACCTCATACCTCTCCTACCTGACAACCCACCGCTCAACAGCCTTTACAATTCACCCACTAACAGAAAGACTGAGCTAAATGCACAGGAAATTAGATCAGGCTATGAATAATGAGTGATATGGTGAAAAGTGATAAGGAAGAGCCTGGGGAGGTGTTAGGATGTGGAAGAGGAACAAGAGAGAAGGGAACACCTTTAAGGAGGAAAAAGATGCCCAAAGGGAATGGGAAAGAGACCAAAAATAGGTTTCATCCCCCAGGACATCTTGATTAGGGCCAGGTTTTTCTCTGAGAATTTCAAATGTTATATTGTTATACTACCTGCATCTCAGAACCTGGGCTGCTTCACAACCCATTCCTCTACATGGCTGTGGCCCAAACCTCTGGGAGCCAGGATGTCTGGCTCCAAATCCAACAGCAAAGTTTGAGAGGCAAGATTGGCTTATAGTTGTATACAAAGTGTGTGTGTGTGCATGTGCGCACACGCGCAGAAGTAGTCTCCCATCCTGCAATAGCTCTTGACCTAAGGAAGACCTCCCCAAGGAAGTCAGCGCTTGAAATTCCAGAACAGTCTAAATTGAAGCTTAAGAAGGTTGTATCACCGAGAAAAGGGAGCACGCAATGTGAGGCAACTCATCTTCCCTGCAGAAGGCCTCAGGATGCCCCTGACTTCCTTTACTCTCCTGCCCAGAGTGAATGCCTAGCTAAGGAAGTGGGAGAGGCAGGCAGAAGCACCAGGACTGGGCTGGGACCTCGCTCTCTGGCAGAATACTGCCCCTTCACCTTCTCACCCACTTCTGTGAGCCAGGGTCTAACAGAGAAACAAAAAACCGTCTGACCAGGAAAGGAATGTGTCATTCCTGCCAACGGACTCTGCTTCACCACCTGCTCATTGTGTTTTACCAGAGGGCTTAGAGTCAGGCCGGTACAGAGAGGAGAAGGAGGACAGGTTCCCAGATGCATTCATCTTCTGAGGCCTCATCTCATCCCATGGGCCACTGCTGCCATGACTCCCAGGATCTGGTGTCCCACTCAGCTGTGTGGCGCCACTCAAAGGAGAGAAGGGCTGGGCAGACACGGCTTCTGAATGGTTGCTGTGCAATAAAGCTGAATCAGCAGGAGTGGCTGGGCTGACATCTGTCCAGGAGGGATATGAATGAGAAACAAATGGGAGAGTCAGAAACGAAGTGCTTTACAAATAATTATGCTGGGCTGAATAGCGTCCCCCCAAAATCCACGTCTACCTGGAACCTCAGACCATGGTGACCTTACTTGAAAGTAGGGTCTCTGCAGATGTAATCAGTTAAGATGAGATGATACTGGATGAGGGTGGATCCTAAATCCAACATGACTAATGTCCTTATAAGAAGCGAGGAGACACAGAGATAAAGAGACACACGGAGGGAGAAGACTATGTGACAGTGGAGGCAGAGACTGGAGTGATGCATCTGCACACCAAGGAGCGCTCCTAGCAACCACCAGAGGTCAGGAAGAGGCGAGCAAAAGGGAGCTGGCTCTGCTCACACCTTGATTTCAGACTCCTAGCCTCCAGAACTGTGAGAGAACAAGTTTCTGTTGTTTTAAAACATCCAGTTAGTGATACTTCATTCCAGCAGCCTTAGAAAATGAATAAAGGAATCCATGGAATGAAGACTAAGGCGGGTACCAGTGACCCCACGCCTACTGCTGAGTATTAGCTAAAAACTTATTTTCCAAGGACTGTAAGTTTCACCCCAAGGTTACTGGCATTCCCGGCCTATGATACCAAGAAGTAGCTATTAGATGTGGTGTCTGAGGGTCACAGTGCACACACAGGAAGAGGAGTGGGGCCCCCTCCTAGCTCCCTCTGTGGTCCCGTGCTGGAGTGATCCCAGGGAGATACTTCAGAAACGTGTCCTCCAACAGCAGGACTCATTGCCAATCTTCGAAGTCCTGAGAGGAAGGATGTGAAGCAATTTGCTGGTCTGTGAACCGGTGATCTACTCACCTGCAGTCTATGCCCTTGCCAGCAGCACAGCGGCTGCTCCTTCCTGAGACTGTTCTGTATTGGGGTTGTTGGAAGAGGAAGGGGAAATGGCTTCCACTACTGGCCGATGCGCAGAAAACCTAGACAGGGTTTTCTCACTCCTCCTGCCTCAGCTAACTCTGGATGCCGATGAGGCTGAGGGAGTGTCTGAGGCAGGCAAGTGGTGATTTGCATCCCACCCAGAATGGCTCATGAGACGGTAAAAAATAACTCTTAAATATAGCTCAGATTGTCTGGCTCCTGCCCAAAGAGTGACTGGGGTACTTCTATATGGGGGATTGTAGAACCCAAAAATACATAGCATCCTTACAGCTCGAGGATGCTATGAGAACATGGCCCTGTCCTTTGCTGTCTCCCTTTAGAGAAAAACCCAGCTGCGTGGCAGGGCCATAATTCAGAGAAATGTTTAAGAGTCTGAACCTTTCAAGGATTACAAGGATTATCATCAAGGGCCACAGAGTGTCAGATTTCTCCACCGAGCAGGTAGAGTGTGGTCCTGTTTCCCTCCACCAAGCCAAGTTCTTCTAGGGAACTGCATGCTTAAATCAATATCCAGCAGATTGCTCCTCCCCCAGTTTACATAATACCAGATGTAATTAGCATCACTGTGAAATAAAGAGTAAGGTAAACTACTTTACTTCAAAGCCTCACTTAAGGTAGGAACTCAATCAGAATGTGATTCCCAACCCCTTCCAAAGCTTCTTTATTCCCCACCGCAGAAAATCAGCTTATTCTCAGCCAAGGCCATGGGAGGTTCCAAGTCTATTAGTAACAGTGATCAGCACTTTCTTGTCCCAGTCTCCCCCGGCCACACAACACAGGCAACATGCCCTACACCGCACGCGGAAAGCAGCAGAGAACAGCCTCCTGTGAGGGGAATTCTGCCTCACAGTGAAGCTGCCGCACCCGCCACACACCATTGATAACTACCCTAGAAGTTCTGGCCCCCAAATCAAAGGAGCAGTGATATGCCATTGCCCCTCTGAGAGAATGATGACTTCAGATGGGAAGAAGAGGGGCTTAAGTCTCCCTCAGGAGAGACAGAGGCAGCAGAGAACAAGGCTGATGCATTCTGGGAGCGCCACTCCAGAGGCCACATATCAAGTGTGGCCATTCTTACAAGTGGTGGCAGGAACTGCAGGTGAGGGGAAGATGTGTTTGCCCTTCTCCTGCTGTCTCGCAGGGCAGCGTTGAGGTGGAACCAACCAAGTTGCCTCTGGGCAACTGAGTTCAAGGATACACACAAAACTCCCACTGGCTCCTTGGAAGATATCATCACAGACATATCCAGGGCAGCCCATCCATTTATAAGTTCATGGATGGAAGTGCAATGTGTATGGCGTCTTGTCTCATTTTCAGAGGCTAGACCTTTGTGCTGGGCATAGGGGCAGAAAGAGTGGAATGGGGAAAATTGGCTTCAGAAGCCTAGTAAAAGAGGTGTGCAAACAGGCGGCTCCCTCCCTGCTTGGTCCGACTGCCCAGGGTGCAGTGCAGTGGACAGTCTCAGCATCAGAGGTAGGCAGGCTCACCATGATGTCACCCCAAGCTGGACTGTCTTCAGTACGCTCCCTGACTTTGCTAGGCCTCAGTGTCCTCGGCTGTGCTATAAAATCAGGACACCACCAGTCTGAGAGGATGGCTATCCTCAGTAAAAGGGGCAACATATGTATCGTGGTCAATAATGTAAGCATGTAAGTGCTCAATAAACGTGCATCTCCTGTCTTTCTTTGGCTGGTATACTCGTGGGGGAAACATTATGCTGCTTTACTCCTCGGGGTAAAATGAAAAACAGGAATAGTACCAGGTCAAAACCCATTATGGCTTATTCATACCTGAAATAGTCAATTCAGAAAAAAAATCAGATATAGCCAGGGCTAAAGATGATTTCCTGGTCCCTGGTTTTTCACACCAGAATTTGACTCATATAGTTGTCTACAAATGCTTGTCTAAGGAGGGAAAATAAAGAGAAAGTTGAGCAGGAGAAAATGAAGGTTTGGTTTTAAACTTACTCTCCTCCTCCTACCCCTACCACAGCTACCCAAGGGCCCTCCTCGGGGAATTCTGGGGAAGGGCATGCTGGTGACAGATTCAGCCTTGCCCAGTTATTGATGGTTTAGAGGATATTACAGCTGAATAATAATAGTAGTAGTAGTAATAATAATAATAATAATAATAATAAAAATGATGGGTGGGATCTGTGAATCCACAAATGATAAAGAATATTTAGTGGTGAACAGAAAACAGGCACTGTGGCTGTTTACCCAAAGGTTTCCAAGATCAGAGGCCCAATGTTAGTGACATTTGCATCTATGGTCTGAAAGATTGTGTTTGCAGTGATGACGGAGCATTTGTCCCCTCCCTTTCCCAACTCATGACCCTTCCCCTCAAGTCCAACACTGTGTATGTGCCAGAGGGGGTCTGGTGGCTGATGACATGCGGGACTAGGAATGGGGAAAAGCTATCTGACATCCCTGCAGTCTGGCTTGGCACTGAGTCCCAGACCTGTGCTCAACCAGGTACATCACAGTGAATCTGCTGGGCCTGGCTGCCAGGATGCCTCCTCTTGGTCTAGACAGATGAGCAAGCACCCAGAAACTGGAGGCTCTCTGGTACTCACTGGCCACATTCATTGCAGGGCGCACTTTCGGCTCACCAAGCAGCCGGGAGGTGCTGCTGGGGGGGCGATGGGCAGCGGGCTGGGCGTGGCTGCTGGAGCGGGTCTGAGGCCGAGTCTGGGGACGCGCGTCCTGCTTGGCCTCTAGGACTTCCGGCACTTTACCCTTCTTATGCATCTCCCTTAAGATACTGGTGGGTAAGAAAGACAGAAGGAAAAATGAAGGTCACCTGAATGCCACAGCTATACTGATCTGAGAGCTCACAGGAGAGGATCCAGAAGTCAAGGAGACTGTTCCATTAGAGAAGCCAAACAATTCGTTTCTGTTTGGGGTAGAGAGCTGGGGGCAGGAAAGAACAACAATTGTCCAGTGCCTTGGCCACAAACATTCTGAGAAAGAGAGAAGACCCATCAGGGCCTCTAAACAACACTTACGGTTCCTTCACAAGACACCCAAAGGTCCGTAAGAGTTCAACACTCTCTGCGAATGATCCATTAAATAGTATTTGCAGTGGCCCATTTAAAACTGCTTCCTGAGACGATGTTGCCTTCCAGGTGTCTTGTAATTTCTAGACCCCCCTCCCTAGCTATAGTCATACAGTGTAAATCTCTTTTTTCAAAGAAAATTTGAAGGCATTTAACATTTGTCAGCACCCACTGGTCACTCTTGAAGATACCAGGCATAATCTCACTCCAGTCTTTACGGAGCCAGGGGAAGTCAGAGGGGACATGGGAGTACAGGAAACCCTGAAGACTGGGTAGTTAGGTTAGAGCAGCTCTATATTATTAAATCAGTGAATTGATATAAGAGTGGAGACCAAAAGAATAATACATTTTAAAAATAGGAAATGAGACCACTTTATCACTAAGGATCCATAATGGTTTGATGGTATAATCAACTGTTTGCTTTTTTTACAGGGTGTGAGAGCTCCTGCTCCTTTGACCTTCTGGCTCTCGCTTCTGGATCCTCCTCCAGATCGTATCTTTCATAGCCCTTGAAAATTTGGAGTTACCTGAGGTTCCGCAGCGTCTGTCCTGTTTGATTTTTCTTACTCATACAGTCATCTGAAAACCAGATTCAAAGAGGACCAGTCAAAATTTAAGCAGCTCTCATTTCCCAGAATACAAATGAACACTGGCTTTTCTCTCCGGGATGAGAGACACAGAATTGCTTGTCGCTTGAGTCTGGGATACTCTGAATTTTTTCAGAAGACCTTGGGTTGAGTATTTACCAAACTTGCTAGGCAGGCTTTCCCGAACCCACCACGAAGATCATTACCTCTGCTTGCTCTGCTCTGAGTCACAATAAAAAGCTGAAAGTGTCTCTTTTTCCAAAGATAATGAGATTCTTGTCCAACTGGCCTTTGGACCACACTGGCCAGAGCCTCCAAGTCCTGCCGCAAGGCTGGTCCCTAGTCCTGTGTCTGTGTGTTATATCACGCTTTCATGCACAACCTACTCCTGTCTCTGTAGAGGTGACAGACAGCCCTGTCTCACCTCTTCATCTGCCATCACGAGCCCCCACAGTGGCCTCAAGCCTGCTCTTACTTTGTGCCCTCAGGTCTCTAGGGAATATTCTATGTAAAAGGCCCCTGAAATAAGAAATATTCCCACAGCCAGGTACTAGTACATGCAGTGCCTAAACCATTTCCAAATCATCATGATTCTTTTTATCATTTTTTGAAGTGCACTGATTAATATTGTTGTTTGATTTTTAGAATAATCATGCGGCATTTAGGGGCTGATATTATTTGACCTAATTTTTTAGGTAAAGGAAATAGATATCAAAAGAAATATGAACATGTCCAGAGTTAGTAGTGAACACATATAGGCGAGAGCAAGCATCTTCAGATTCCTAGTTTAGGGTTCTTTTCAGAACAACCAGCTGCCCCTGTTCCACCTCTTTCTGCCAGTTAGTCTCAGATAAACGCTATCACCCCCAGTGACGCCTCCTGCCCTAGCACCTCCCACATACTCTGTGGGAGATGGAGGAATAGGTAATCATCATGGCACCCCAACCCTGTGTGCCTCACTGTTGTTGTTTCTGATTCTGCCGTGGCCCCAAAATGGTGATACAAAGCAGGACACCAGACTGAAAAGTCACTTGTGGATGGGTGTGAGCCTGTGTGAGCCTAGGTCCTTGGGGAGGACTAAAGGCCCTCCCGAGCCCTGGGGCCCGCTTACCTGTACTGAATTTGCTGGCAAGGCTCTCTGCCAGCTGGCTGCCCTTGGCCAGCTGCTCACGGAAATGCTGCTCCATGTAGTGGTCAATGCTGTTACTGC